AACCGAGTCATTATTTCTGAGTTAGCAGACAAACTTTCGGTTTTTACACTAAAGTATTTTTGCTCTTTGTTGTGCAGTTTACAGGCTTTGATTTCAATCAGTCATTTAAAGGAGACATTACTCACATGCAAATGACAGCAGTACAACGATAAGCCCCCAAGAGGTATTCATGTTTCGCTCTTGGCCGGCGACTAAGGAAGTGAACTTCATCTTGCCTTCAGCGCTTTTATACCCTCTTTTTTTTTCTTTTTTTCTTTTTTTTTTTCTGTAACCTTTATTTCATTCTAAACCATTCAAATATACAGTACATAAAATAAAAAACATGTGCTACAAGACTAATGATAGTAAAAATAATAATAATAAAAAATAATAATGGAAATAAAAGGATATAAAGAAAAAAATATAAACGGCAAATTGAAAAAAAACAACTACAGTAGAATAAAACTGGGGGATAAAAAAAATAGATACCATATTATTCATCTTTAAAGAGTTCATTGTAAAGTTTGACAGTCTTATTAACAAGGTCAAGAGTCTTAATATACTCTAAAAATTCTTTAAAAAATCCAATAAAATTGGGGGTGACCTTTGTTACTCTACATTTATGTATATGGAATTTACCATAAAGGATCATCAAATTAACAATGAATGCAATGTCATAATTAATATGTTCAGAATATGTAATGATGTTTTTATATTCAATATTGAAATTATTTTTACTTTTACAGATTATGTAATTATTTAATCGAGCCCAAAAGGTAACTGAGTGTGTACATTGATTCGGGTTCAATATTACAAAAATTGCATTTATTTTCGATGTCTTAATATTTGGAGAAATATAAATTTGTTGGATATATTTTGTGTAAAATTTTCCTTTAGGAAAACATAACATGAGGTATAACAGAGTCTACTGTTGCTTACACAGTGTCCTTGATTGTCTCTGCTGTTACTCTTTTTCCATCAATGATAGCCTCAGGGCCACGCCATAGAGTTTTCTTCCCCTCTTTGCATGTTTTGTCAAGTGGCCAGAGCTTTTGCCGACATTGTCTCTCCCAATATGTCAAATCCTCCGTGAGTTGAGGCTTCTCCTTCATCACTGTGGTGTTCCCTGAAGCACTCCAAATTTTTTGTCAGAAGATGTGCATGGTGAACTCTATTATCACTGGACATGAGCTCCCATCTTTCCTGTGACGTCTGGTCTGTTGTACAGTATTGATGAGAAAACCGAACTTGTTTTTTTCATCAGGGGCAATTTGACCATGGATTTCGAAGACTTGCTGTCTTGTTTCCTCTGCTGAATCATTGACAGCTTCAGGGACTTTGAACAGCTTTAGATTCCAGTGCCGACTGTAACATTCAGCTTCTTCAATCTTCATCTCTTGATCCAACAACTCACAGCATGTGCCTTTTCATTCGTTGTCTTCATTTAGTGATCTATCCCTTCGACATCTTCTCTGTTAGCCACGATATCTGTGTTTTATATTTTTTGTTTGAGTGTAGTAAATCTGCTTGTCGACTCCTGGATGGCTTTTAGTATGTCAGCATTGGACACTTATTCAGCATTGGACACTTATTCCTCCTGGTTGCTTGGACAGAGTTTTTTTCGGATTTGGACTCGACACTGGATTTTCAGGTAAAGGTGAGCAGAAAGGGAGCATGTTTTCATTTTCAATGTTGTTGTAGGTTGGTTAGCTAAACTTGGCTATGATTATCTAGTTTTGTATTTCTTCCAAAAAATCCTTGTATTGGTCTAATGTCTTAATCAAACTTTTCTATCAAACACCAGTCCTTTAGGTTGACATCTCATATTTTTTTATATCCAATTAAAGCAACAGGACTCAGAACTAAAGAGACCTCAAAATAATACACACGCACCGGCCGCCATCTTGCCCAGCCCCAGCTTTTTATGCTCACTACCAAGTGCCAACCCTCCATGACATCACCCATTGGTTTGTGAACTGCCGTTTTATATACAGTCTATACTCACTACTATGCAATCTACTCACACAGAGTTGTTTAGGAAGTCGCACACTTCAACCTTCAAAATAAAATCCAATAGGGGAGGGTTACTTTATAAGAAGTTGACACCTGCAAGTGTGTCACTCTCCTGCCAACTGATATCAAATAACACACTGATGCCAGCTCTAACATTAATCTGGTGTGTTTTAAGTACTGCACTGGCCTTCAGGAGACAGCTTTGCCTGTTGTGGAGGGACAAACATATTTTAATAGTACCCTTATTGTCTTACTGCATCTTCACCAGAAATATCCAAGTAGTACTCATGTTATAAAAATGTTTTCTTCCACTCCTGTCCAGCTGTGGTAAATATGATCAGGTGTCTCCATCTCCTCACCAGACATCAAACCTTAGACATCCAAAAGATAAACAAACTCCAGATATTTGTTTTAGGCAAAACTGTGGACAAAACTGTCTCCTTATGTCCTTTGGTAATTATTTCATGTTAGGGGTAGATTCCCATATAAGCTTTAGAGTCTTTCTGCCCACCCCTGCATATATGGCAGGCATACATGTTTGGTTTGACTTGTCATTTTAAATTTGCATGTGCAAAATTGAAACATGTCTGATGCTGATTAACAGTGAAGTCAGCTAAAATACTTCAGAAACTGACACCACCATCCAGTGATAGCAAGAGAAATGCACAGAGTTAAGCTAGTATTTAAAATTAAAAAACAGTCAGTTTGATCCTGAACCTTGTAGATATTTACACTAATTTCATGAACTGGAATTTTCTATTTTCTTCATCACCTAAAGGTAGCTAACAAGCTAATGAACCTAGGTAAAAAGCTAATTAAGTTAGCTAACAAGCTAATTACTCAGACAACAGAGGAGGTAACTATTTTTAAAAAGTTTGAAAGACATTTAAGGATTAATATTCTTACCTTTTCCATGTTTGTGTAGCCACTAGCTAGCAGGTTGTCCAACAACTGTGGGTGCTGTGTAAGCCCGTGGATGTGTCGTGCTAGCATGTGTTGCTCTGTGAGTGCAGGAGTGAAATGATGATGAATATTAGGTCATACAAAAGAAGGCACTGGCACAGAAGTGGGGCGATGCACTGCTGGGGACGGGCCCATTCACAAAAACGTGTTTTAGCCACTTTACACCCCTTATATATCAGGGCTCGTTAGCGACCTTCCGTTTACATAAGGCAGATTCAACCATATGTTGAAATCAAATTGTTTCTTCTGTTCTTGACAAAGAATAATGACCATTAATAAACAAGGAAAGGGTATATTTTTGTCGTTTATGACATCATCATCTTACACATGGGCCGCTGTCACAGTCACTGCTCATGCACAAATGTTTATCTGCAGAGCTGTTGTCATCAAAAACCTGTGTATTATAGAAAATGACAGCCACATGCTGGTCATTATGTTACTGTTGTATTTGCTCATAGACAACAGCGCCATCATGAGGTAAAACTGGAAAGAAACAGCATTAACTGCTGTCACTTGTATCCAGGCGCCCTTGAGAAAAAAAAGGTTAGACTCCTAAATACCCCCACACATTTTTTTTTAAAGAGAAAAACATTAGAAAAACAATTACGTCTCACGCTGGACACTTGAACACACTTTTCCAACATAAACTGTCAAGGTTAGGGTTTTTTCCGTGTGAGCCCCCAAGTAACTATAGGAGTTGACTTGTTGAATGGTATGTCGATGGATTTTAAGTTGCATTAGCTGGATGTCTGAAGACCTGCTGGGGTGAACACATCCACTGTCTTGAAATCAGATGATTCTGATATGATACAGAAATAAGAGAACCAGTTAAATCTGCTTAAAACTACTTAGCACTGTATGAGAGTTAATGCTGTTTTAAAGATTAAAAATGAACTAAAATTAAGTTATATTATTATGTTATATCATTGAATGAAGCATATATCCTCAGACACAATTCTGTGTATTTTGCACATGGGATTTTAATTTGAAACTTTCTGACCTGAATTCTGCTTGCTATAAAAATTAACTTACATCATCACAACCAGCAGTACAGTGCCTGCGGGTGCTCACATGCACCTTCACATCTTTTGGTCACAAATGCAATGAATTACAGATTGTGACGAAGGCTCTGAAACACCCGTTTGTCTCCATGGATGACCTGGCGAATGAGATGGACACCAGCTTGTAGTGAGTGACTGGGTTTTGGTATCCTGTGTGACACCATGATCATCTGATTCAATATTCAGTAATAACACACAGATACTAAAACACTAGTTATGAAAAGAAACAGACCAGCCAGTGATCTTCCAAACACAAAACATTGACCTATAGGCTATATGGAACTATTTACCTTTATTATTGATTAATCTGTCCATTCTCCTTTATTACTAGACTGTTTGGTCCATAAAATGTCAAACAATAAATCCATCATCATAGACTAATAGTTTCAGGTCTAATCTCACCCATGGTTTTAATTTACTCTGTTTTCAGACAGTTACTGCCACAACACAATACTTTGATGTTTTGATAATTCTACAATAAAGTACCTGTGTTAGATGTGTTTTGAAGGGATAAGATACCTGAGAGATTGCAACGTTAGCCTGTCGCTCAGCTTGCGTCTTTGGTCAAAATATCTCAGGCTTTTTTCTGTGTGATAATTGCTCATGTTAATTGGATTTATGCTATTTTAAAAAAATATTTTTTTTTACAATGCAGTACACCTCCAGCGCCATGCTAGGATGCTCTGCTTTTGGACTGATTGTCCATGTATGAGCTTAACATGTTTCCAAACTGTTGCTGTGAGCTTCCAGACATCTCAGCAAATAAGAGTTGTCTGCCTGACTAGAAATAGTTCAGAACAAACATTCACTGCTAGAATATTTCTTCCAAGCTTATGCACTGGTCACCAAAACTAAAAATGCAAGAATATAAAAAGAGGAAACAATGATATAATTAAGCTTTTGGGACAAGACGTACATTAGAGTTTACAAAAAAATCCAAAAATCTGATTTTGGAATAAACATCACACACGTACATATTTTGCTTTTATTGAAATTTATGTAAATTAATGAATTAAATTATATTCATAATCAAAATGTCAAAAATAACACAGGGAACCATACCCAGAAAAAATAGTAAACTAACAAATGCAACATTATAATTTAACAAACAGGGGTAGATTGCCAATAATTAACAAACTCAACCCCTTGGACTTCATATTTTGCTTGTTCAACTATTAATCACACTTGATTAATGAGGCCTGTTGACATGATCAAAGAAAAGACTAATGTTAAAGTCAAACAAAACAACTTCCAATCCAAGTCTTGTCCATGATTCTTAAACATTTCAGTCAAACCAGCATCATGAATTCACTGTGATTCAAAGTTAAAAACAATAAAACCTGAAAAACTCCAAGGAGAAGAGCGAATAGAGGCACTGCATATAAGCCTAAATAATGAGTTTGATGCATTCTGACATTAAATTCCCTTACATGAAATGTGTGCTTTTAAAGATGGATGAATGCTGAGTGCAAAAATAGATTTTGCATTAGAAAAAAAAAAGAAAAAACGATTGTCACCTTGTTCTCATCCATTTTCCACACAAACACTCTTGAACAACACATACACACATTTTTTAAAGCTTTTGCCGCCAAACAAAAGGCTGATGCTTTTAAGCACATAGGTAGTAACTTAATAGTTTTGCAGAATATTAAAACTGGTGCATCAGTGGCCTTCACCAGCGAGTTTTAGTCTTTAATCCAGTTACATTTCTCCAACTCTAAGTGAATAAGATATGTGACAGCACCCTTGTTGACCTTTAACTCAATTAAAATGTTCCACACTCGGCTCCTCATGATTCTGATATATCAGTTTGTACATTTATATACTGTATATCTCCACACACACACACACACACACACACACACACACACACACACACACACACACACACACACACACACACACACACACACACACACACACAATGTATACAAGCACATACCACACATTACAAACAGTGAATAGATAAACAGACACAAAAAGGAAGTAATACACTGACTGTAACAAAAATTAAATAACTGCATGGTTTTCCATAGAAAAGGGAGTAATTGGTTTGTATTGCTTTGGCCTGTTCTGTGAGCAGCCTGCTCATGTTATCCTCCTCTGGTCGTGTTGATGCAGAAGCATCAGAGAGCCACTAGACTGCACCACTGAGAGGACTTGGCAGCAGCGAGAAGGTGGGAAACCTTACTGATGTCACAAATGTCTGTTTTGTTACTTTTCTTCTTTTACCACCTTTTCTCCTCATCTTTCCCTGTTTTTCCCTTCTTGGCGGAGGCTTCACATTAGCACCCAAAAGTGTCTTTTTGTGCAGTGAAGTCTGTGTCCTCTTGGTCCCATTTGCCTGGGGACAGGCACTCTTCAGTGTTGAAGTCCTGAGGGTTTACCCCAATGTCCAGGACCTGGGGGTTAGTGCGAGACTCAGCGAGTCTGGAGGAGCAGACAAAGAGAGACGATTCATTAGTAACCTCTTTGATGAAACCTGGGTAGTGATTAAAATGACTGTTATTATAAATAACAATGCATTACATTTAAAAAGCTTGTGAACAATGACATGTACAGAGGTACACAAGGTATGGACATAAACGTGGATTCTAAGCATTCCTGTTTGTAATGAAGAACAAAGAATCATGATTTAAAAAAAAAAAAGAAGCAAAGCCATATGTGGCCAGATGTGGCAATGAAATGATTCCCTTTGTGAACTGATAATAGCAAGCCAACATCATACAACATGCCTATTTAAATACATGTTAGACCTGCAGTACACACAGAACACACACCATATTCATTCATCAAGACATCTCTTGTTCAGTGTCATGGCACTAACAGAGTGCTAAGCTGATGAGTGTGAGGCAGAGGCACAGAAAACATTTGTGATGAAGACATGGACACACTGGAGGACTAATCAGGTTCTGTGGCAGAGAGCCTCGACTTATGAAGCTCAGGGATGGATCAAACTGTGGAATGACAGTGGGAGGGGGTTTCCCCCCTTTCAGTGAGTCAAACAAAGGTTCTGAACTATGTTAATGGTATACCACCTTCAGTGAAAATGTGCAACTACATGTGTCTTGAATATTCTGAAATCCAGGCAGATGAGCAGGCTTGAATGTTGGGTTGACTAGGGGAGAATGAGGTGAAGTGACTACATCCATTTATGATTCTGTTACCTGAGTAGGATTCAAAGCTATCCAGACTGTGGCTGGGGGTGCAAAGGAAACATCACAAGTCAGGCAACATTTAAACTCCGAACTCTTATAATAAAGTGAATGGACAGTTTGACTTTAAGTCCAAATGCTGGTGGATATAAGGCCAAAATTAGAAAACAGGCCCATTTTCTCTTTGCATGACAGAAAACACATGTAGACAATATTGACTTTTTCCTCTTTTTGATCAACAGGCACTTCAGAGGCGTTTACATCTACAGCCAGCAGATGGCAGTGCAGTCTCTCAAATAGCAACAAAAATGATCTGAACATGAATTTATCTGCAGTTCACATCAAAAAAGTACAATTACAGATTGCTCCTGTAAGGGAGTGAAATGTCACTCATCAAAAAAATAAAATTTAGGAACAAACACTTGGAATCCAAGAATAAAACTTTCATGTTGTGGGAGCAGATGTTTTTATAATTTCCACAACTTGCTGCCTGTTACATGATCTCCAAGGTGTTTACACAGTGAGCTTTGATCAAATTTAGGACGGTATAATCTATGATTCAAAAGCAATGTGGGATAAGAAAAAAAATCTTTCCTAGTCTCAGAGTATCTGTGTCTGATGTATCTGTTTCTCAAGCTTAATATAAGTTACACCCTATGACCAATAATTTCTCATGTTTATAGTCTTCTTATCTGAAATATTATTACGTGGGAGTTCGCTCAGAAAGGCACATTTATGTAACTCAGCTATAAACAATCCATTAATCTGGAATTAATTTCAATCCCTATGCTAAAGAGTATGTGCCACACACCAACCATCAGGTGCAGTGAAGATAATACAGACACTGTCATTCTGTAATATTCTCATTCACAGACTCATGAATTGTCTCTGCTGCTTCAGCTTCTCCTCGTGGACAAAGACATCAACCTGTCCCTCAGCTCCCTAAACTTCAAGTCCAGAAATCTACATGTGGATGCATCCCTGTTTATGTAGGCAGCATCCTCATTAATCACAGAGCGGCAGCTTAACGGCATTAGGGTGTAATTACAGTGTGTGCAGACAAATAATCATCTGATAACAGGGCTAAAATGGCCTCCTAATGCTTGATTAAAGAGACTGTGGAGCCCATTCTCCCCTTCACTAAATGGAAGTGAGAGAAAAAGACGACCGCTGACGAATTAGCAGAGGGAATGAAAAGCAGAGCCAAAGGAAATAAATGCACTAATATAAGGTTGAATGAGTCTTTATGGCAGTCTGGAACAAATAGCTGTAAACAGTTGCACCGTGCAACCTGACAGCAGACCACCACAGCTTATCTGAGTGCTGCCGATGCACACTAAATTGAAACATTATTCACACTGGATTCCAGCTCCATTCTGATTGGTTTGTTGACGACGTAGACAGAGTTTAAGGAGTTACAAACAGCTCAGACAATGGACTTTCCTGTCAACCTTGAACCAGAAAATTATGAGACCGGATCTTTTCCTTCGTTTTTTTCCTAATGCTGCAAAATAAGTTACTTTCCTATGGTTTTGTGATATAAATACCAAGCAATGTGTCCCTCAGCAGCACCCATTGGTAATCACAGGCTACCCAAGCTCATATGAAATCAGTGTGGAGGCCTGAGATGATGGCAAACTGAGCCTACAAAAGCAGTGTGACTCAGGGAGGGTGTCGGCCGTGCCAGGGCCTGTAAACTGAGCCTGTCTCCTGTCTGTGGGAGTGCACAAGGGTGAGCCGAGTGGAGTGAGAGGCAGTGTTTATTACAAGAGCAGCCCAAACCACATGCGGCTATTTCCAGAACAGCAGCTTGTGTGGCTGTTCAGTAGACACTGGACTTTGGTGGAAAACCTAAATCCACACTGGTTCTCACCTTGAGAAAGCCTCGTCCAGACCGTCCTCCAACTCCTGCCACAGAGAACATACACATATTTGTTAAAGTTAGTGTCTTGAGTGATGATAACAGTTCTTACTGATGAGATGTTAATACACTCACATATGAACAAAGTCACCTTTAGCCACTTTTCCTCTAACCTACAATGGTCTTGGGAGGTTAATGTGGGCTACTTGCAGCCCCACACCCTCTCCAGCTATGTGACCATTTCATGAGGCCAGTTCTGTTCAATAGGCTATTGTCTAACTCAGCGTCGCAGCAGTGCAGCTGCAGAATCCACTCCCCTGCACGTTATCCCTCTCTTCCTATCTTATCTAACCTAAACAGCTGAATCTCACTGACCAGCCTGACTCTTGTCTTACCCATACAGTATTGTTGTTCTCTGTTGCCTGATTATGCACCATAAAGGGATCCGATTCAGCCTGCTTTGTTCCTGAGTGGACCTGTGCCACGTTAGCTCCCTCGGCCAAGTCTAGAAGTTTCCCCGTGGCTACCTCTGCAACATGAAACAAACAAGCAAGATTTGAGAAGATTTACATATAAATGCATTAAAAAAATCACATGCAACCTTTCAAATCACCCACTACATTCAATTCCTATATAGTTTAAAGAATTCACTGTGTAGTGGAGTCATAACAATGAAGATACATTTTCTCCACATAATCGGCTCCTGCGATTATCATAGCCTCATGCAACAGTAAACAGCAGGATGCATACACCAAGTATAATGCCATGCTATTCATTAAGGTCCCCTTTTCCTCTAATGTATCTCATTAATCCAGCCGTCTGTGGATTGTCACTTTGTGATAAGTGAGCATGGAGTAACCTCCTGACTTGCACGTCTAACCCCTGTGATACGGCTGATCTGTAACGGGATTGGTTTGTAATGGCCCTGCCTCATGATAAATGTGTGTCAATAATATGTGTCGACTCTAATTTCTGTCGAGTCTTTAGGCTAATGTGTTCCGCTGAGGACAGTAAAACTTCAATGACTCTTCTGATGCTAGCACAACCTCACTCTGCTATGCACACACCTCACTGCTGAAACCTGGCTATCCTTAACTGACCTTTTCCTCAACATCTATGTTCCTCAAAACACTGGCTCATAAACAACTGAGTCAGCATGCAAAAGCAATTCCCTCCAACCTGCCCCTTCTGTCAAGACCGGCTCAAAGGCGTTTAGAGTACTGTGCTGTTATGAAGAAGGCAATATTGTGGGGCTGGGACTGTCATTCATGTGGAAAAGGAGGGAGGCTCAAGGCTCGCCTGACGGTAATGCCCTGAAGTTAACAGTTTAGGTGTTTGCTAAGGTGGAAGTGAGGCTCTGGGAGCAAACAACCGGCTGGCACATTTAACTAGAGCTGCTGCGATTAGTCAATTGATCAGTTAGTTGATTGAAAGAAAATCAATCGACAACTATTTTGATAACTGTTTGTTTGTTATTTTTCAAGCAAAATTCTCAAATGTGAGAATATCTTGCTTTTCTTACTCATTTATGACAGTAAATGAATGTCTTTAATAAATTATGTGACAATGACACTTAACATTACTTTTTTTAAACTAGTGATTGATATTTTAGTTATAATCATAAGCCCTACATTTAACCCTGTGAAGAGGGGCAGGAAAAACCTGAGAACAAACAAACACGGGAAGAAGTGGCATTTATATTTCGTATCCACTGTAAGACGCCTGGCGCCAGGAGAGAACTGAGAGTATCATGTCTCCTGAATAAAGCTGAATCACGGCTGACAACACCACTGAAGCTAACAGTCCCTCTGACTCAGTGGCATGCCATTTGATCAGCTACAGTGAAGGGTACATAAATGTAACCTTGTGATAGCTCTAAAACTCTGCTGTCCCCAATCACTGCTTTAGGGCTGGCAGTGAAAACCTCTGTCAGGAGAGAAATGCTCAGCCTGTTTCAAAAGGCACTCAGATGCTTCTGCAGTACTGTGTATTACTCTGCTGTACAATTACGCCAATTTGCTTTACAGAAATCCAGTCCACTGGCAGCTCAATGACCCACAGGATGGTGAGTGGGATAATGTTAGTCCAAAAACACACCCCAAGCCTCTATGTTACCAGAATCTGTTTCTATGTCCGACTTTGTTGAGTCTTCTCATTGGGGATCATCCTTAAAACCTGTGTCAGTCATAAAATGCTACACATCCAGGGCCACAGCCACAGATAAAGTATCAGAACAGATTTAGAGAGATCCCTCTCTGGCTGGAGGCCACCGCGCCAGGCAGAGAAGGAAGCTCAGTGCAAAGCTGATGTTTTCAGATGCAAAAAAAATACTGCCTCTGTCTCAAACAGAAACCTCCAGTACCAAAAGGATCAGAGGAAACTCTAAGAGTGGCCGCTGGCGTTTTAAGTGTGACAGGAAAAGGGCATGCACAGACAAACAAACAAAGAAGAAAGCATTGTGAGGCATGAGTGTACAGACATTTAGCCACAGGCAATAGGATGCTCGTCATCTCATTTCATCTTAGGCTGTGGACAATATGTGGAGCTAATCATGCCTTAAGGTCATCTGGCTCAGTGGATGTCAACAACATGTTTCGAAGGTATGAACTGTGTCTTAAGTTGAGGAATCTTGGGAAATCTGATGGAACACTGGGGTCACAGAAAATGTGGGCCACTTTCATGCTTTTTACACAAACAGAGTGGGACAGAGTATGACTGTGTGTCCATGAAAAGTTCTCCATTATCATAAAATGTCAAGGGGATCGCTGAACCAAGATTTGTTTTTAATGGATCCTCAATGCAGCAAGGGGGGGTTTAATATTTTCAAATTAAACAGAGCATCATCATTACCATTATCATCATACATAATCACCTAAAAATGTCATTTGCTGTTCATTGTAATGATGTTAGTGAGAAGGAATAACAAAGAGAATGCAAATTGTTGTCAGCTGACCTGCAGCCTTAATATAGGCCAACCTTTGACAAGTGGCTGAATACTCTTCCTTCCCCTGAGGCTACGACTGCAGTGACGGAGAGGGTGAGGGAGAGAGAGAGAGCGATGTGATGATGGGTGACATGACTCACCTCCTCCCTTCAGGCTGCCCAGGCTGGCCGAGCTCTCTGACTGAGAGTTGCTGGCTCCTTCCCCGTCTGAACCTGACTTCACTCGTTTCTCTTTCTCTGTGCAGGGGGAACGGCGATGGGTAGAGGAAGACAAAAAGAAAAAAAGAAGCATGGGTATAATTCAGGAACTTGTAGCCACACAGTGAATGCCCTCACGGTGCAACCACTGAGGGAACTGTTTACTTTTATAGCAGTTGAAAATGTGCGTATTAAAATGTTTCACTAAGCAAGCATATAATGTGTGTAAACAAATTGGCAGCAGCAAATTGGCACATAAGGTTAAGGCCATTAATCAAGCCATCTGTCAGCTGAAACTTAAAAGGCCTGCCTGGGCTTCAAAGATGGGAACACACTTCATATTTTACGCAGCGGTAAGTACAGCAGCATTCAAACAGAGTAGGCATGGCATCTGGGTCAGACGGATAATAGGCTTTGCTCGCTCTAAACATTCTCACCTGCTAAGAAAGTGGTTTAAAACACAGTGCAGGTTACTAAGTGCAACTGAAAACAGCTTTCATTGTGTTTCCTGTACAACACCGCTCTGTTGCACTCTGGACTAGTAGAGTAGTTTGAAGGATGGTATTTGTCAGCAGAGTTACTTGTAGGAATTGTGCTCACAGTTAGGACTAAAAACACTTCTACTTCAGGACGGGACCAGAGGCTAGTTTATGGATTGTCCAACGCTTATTTTAACCATGAAGCAGGACTACTGCTTGGACAGAGATGCAACACTCAGAGTGCAACAGTACTTCATGATACTTCCTACTAGATCTCACAGTTGTGGTTTGAAATATTAGTTGTAAAAATTGATGATTAATTATAAGATGATATTTATAAATGTGCCATATAGTAGACTGTAAAAAATAAACATGGCCTAGTAAGTACATTAAAACAGGAGGCCATTAGTCTCAGCTGCATGAAATCTGCCCCATTGAACCACATACTTTCACAGTTCCCGTAATAGTGCAACTTGCACATTTTGCACAGGAACATGTTGCAAACCCTCTGAGTGTTGTGGCACAGTGCTCCATGAAGAACTACACCCTTTCAACTACACCCCTTGTTAACTTGCCCTACATGTGGGGAATATTAATTTCTGTAAGCTCACATATTGTTAAAGTGAAATGCACTGTAACAATATGAACATACAGTATATTGCTATGGTGCATCTATGGTGTCTTCTTTCAAATATCATAGCTCAGGCACATACCACATAACTGTAACATCCATGGTTCAATTATGGCTGTGGATATTTTTTTTGCTGTTGTTATACCCTACATTCTCTCCCCTTGTTTCCTGTCTGCATGATCACAGTTTTATTTATTACTTCCGAAACTGTTTCTTTTGAGAAAATCATCACTGCTGCATGCTGCTAAGCTGCATTTTGTGTAGCAAATGTGATGTTGTGAGGACATCAGCTCCTGCAGGCTCAGCATGTGTTTTCTTGTGGATCCAACTCAAGGTCAGTCTCAAATATTATTCCATTTCTGTCAAAACAATCTTTCTATAAGCTTATTATTATTATCATCATCATCATCAAGCATTCCAAAAATATCTCTCCTCTCTCTGAATATCTCTGTGTGAACACCATCTCTTGGCAGCTTTAAACAGACCTCCTCTGGAGCTCTTTCAAATATCAGCAGAGACAGAAGTGATTTCCTAACAGGAGTGTATCGATTCTCCGAATCCACGGTTCGGTTCAGACCTTAGTTTTTGAATCATAGTTTGGTTCATACCCCGGTTTTGCTGTCCGGCACTGCGAAACAGGTTCATGGAAAATTGTATTATGCTTTTGGTCTTTGTTTCAGAATCATTATCTCCCTATTTCCTAAAAATGTTCACAACTAAGCTTCTACTCCTTGTCCTAAAAGTAGAATAAAAAATGTATCAGAGGTTTCGAGCAGTTGGGAGCATTTTCCTACTCTGCAATGCTTGATAAATACAATACATTTGTTTTGAATGACTAATGACTCTGAGTTTACTCATAAATGCAAACACCCATCACTGTCCTAACTAAAATATCACTCCTCCCCATGAAGTCATGGTTAGGGCTGATGCTTAAACGACTCCAGAAGCAGGAAAACGCGAGACCTTCTGCACCAGTGTGATAACTCCCTGAGGGGCCAAGATGCTGACCCACTCTAACTACATGGCTGGAGATTAAACGTCCATTTCCGTCTATCCTAAAGAGACCTGTTTACTGCAAGGAGGTGTTTTTATTTCATCACTATCCTTGGTCTGAAAAAAAAAAAAAGAAAAAAAAAGACATCTCATTTCCCATGAGCCCAGGTAGCTTAGTGATGGCAGTGTTTCAAAAGATTTCCCCCAGCACCTGTTCTCTGCTCATGGCCTTTCCCGTGTGTAGTTTTCACTGTGACTGGAGCTCCAACTCCTGCTAAACATGGAACCAACTTAAAGATATGCAAGTTCAAAGCTAGCTGCAGTGTTTACAGGGAATATTCTATCAACACGGATTTATGAACAGAGATGGGAGGTGTAATATACGGAGGAATGTGGGTCAGGAATGTGTGGTGGTCTGTGGAGAACCACTGTGGGTGGTGCAGGGGAGTTTGTAAAAGAAAAAAATACAGATATTGCAAACTAGAGAGACATAGGGTAGATACCCTTTCTTCCTGCCCTGATCCTCAGGGGTCTTCTAACTTTAATGAAAGAGACTCAAAAGGATTTTTTTTCCTCTCCTGATCTCACTTTCTTCTTCTGTGCCACAAGAGAACGCCACTACTTCTTTTTGAAAAAACAGATTCCTCCTTTCCCCTCCATAACCTCCCACCAGCTAGGCATCAGTTCTCATTCATCAGCGAGACCGTACTGAACTGTAAGAAAGCAGCTCTGCAAATTAAAAGAAATACTAAACCCACCTAGAAAATGAAGATGTTGAGAGGTGAAGAACAGTGAGAAAAGGGGGAAAAAGATGCAGTGGTAAAGTGTGAGATAAATAGAGTAAGGTTAAAGAGTGAGGAGGCAGTATGCACTAATTTGCTGATTTTATATTCAGCTCAAAAATACAAACAGCCAAATGAAGAGGCGTGAGGCGGGGGCCTCTGGCCTTGATCTTGGAAAAAATAATCCACCCCCAAAATGGAAATATGCACACATTAAAACATTCTTAAACACCACAGTAGAACAAGAAGACGGGGTAGAAATGTGGAGTGAATGAAAGAGGCGGTTGGAATTTTCATACAGTGAGAGTGTGCGTCTCTAAAGGACTGAATAAATAAGCTCGCCTTCGCACGAGACAGAATCAATGGCACCGACATTGAATCTGTCAGGGGGTTGAGCTCCCACTGACACACGCATACAATCATTTTCCTTTCTCTCTTACACACTTGCCATCCCAACACCCCTCTCTGCCCCGCCTTTCATCCTCTCTTGCCCTCTCTCCTTATCCCCATCCCCCCTTTCCTTTGCTCTCCTCCTCTTCACTCCTCATAATAAACAGAAGCGAGTGCTGGAATGGGGGGAGGAGAGGGAGAATGAAATAACTCGACTGGTGTGGGGTGAGGGGGATTAAGGTGCCAGGTGCACAACAAGACGGACAGCAACAATGGATAATCACAAAATTCAAAGAGCACCAACACAGCAACATACATGTAAAAGATGAGGAAGATGGGAGTGGGGGGTGGTGGTGATGAGGAAACCAATATTATGTGGCAAAAACTGCTCATTTACACCGGAGTCACACATGCAGTAAATTACATGCATGTTCTGCTGAGCTGTACAAAAGAATGTGTGTGACACGTCCTTACACAGCACTTTGATTGCGTGTTGTGCTCACTGTGGTGCCTGATTATCTCCGTACTGTGCACTGCTATTGAGGGTGCTCACAAATTCAAAGAGGGTGAATGCTGCTTAAAAGTTTGACATAAAACAGAAAAATATAAATACGGTGTTTTATGAGGAGAAAAAAGATCATAGATAAAATATATAGAGGGAAAATCCCAGTGCTCACACATCTAAGTCCTGTTCTCACTGTAAAGGGAACAGAGAAGATCTACTTCAGTCAGCCCACCTCTGCCCCAGGCTAACCTTAATTCCTCTCCACCCCTCCCCATGTCGATACCTAGATGAGTCTTTAACCATGACTGAGCTCCCTGTAATAAAGAGGCGTCACTGAACTAAAACAGGTCTCAGTGCTCTCTGGGCGATGATTTAACCACTGTGTGAAGAGCTGGTCCAATCAATGGGGACATTCCTCTACTTTATGCGAGTGAGTGAGTGAGTGAGTGTGAGTGTGTGTGTGTGTGTGTGTGTGTGTGTGAGAGAGGGATATCAGTGATGGGCAGGAGCAGCCCAACAGTTCTCCAGTAGTTCACATGACCCCTCTAGAGGGTGTCAAGGTCAAGACCAGGAAGACAGAGGAAATTTTATGTTTCCACGTTTTCCAGGAAACCTCAGGATAAAAGAGAGGGTCACTGTATACTCGACATGTACAGTAAGAGTAGAGGTTAACAACAGTGGGGAGTGGAGAGAAGAAGAGAGGAACGTTTTCACTCATCCGTCACACTCTGGTCGTCAGGGCGACCATGCGTACCTTCCTTGGCAGCCTGCCAGAATTCAAACGCCACTCTGAATGCCTGAGCCACCGTGAGGGTTACTGCCTGGGCCTGTTGGTGGGAAGCAGAGAGCCAGACAAGAGATGAGACAGATACAGAGAAAACAAAAAAGGAAGATGAACAATACTCATATGCATCTTATCCACTGGAGGGAAAACTCCAGGAAGTCAAGGAACTATGACCATGATAAAAACAGGAACTGACCACTAATACAAGGAGGAGTTTCTTCACAGCTACTTGAGGAGGAGGAAGAGAAACCTGTGGACTCCATGACGAGTTGTTTGTGTAACTGGGAGGATACGTGGCCTTTTGGCCAGAACTAAATTAGTAAGGGGAAGGAAGAGGAGGGAGTGGTTCACTCTTTCTACAAACCTCCAGGGATGGAGAGAATGCCAAGAGAGGGATGACAGCCTCCCCGCCCTTCATGTTCTCACTCCTTGTCTTTCTCCTGACTTAATACTTGGACATTTGCAAGTAAAGTGCGACTCAAAGTGGCAGTGCAGTTGTTCCCTCTGCAACATATCTGCATAAAGTTCTTTTCACACACTGCCAGGAGCAAAAGCTGAGTGCAATACCTGCATGCGAAATTCACAGCATGAAGAATCTTTAGTCTACATTTGTAGCTTCAGCCATTAGCTGTATTCCACTATATATTTATCTACTGTATATGTAACCAACAGCACTGATGGAGAGAGTGTGACATTTTGGAAATGTGCTCATTTCATTCTTGCAGAGAGTTAGATGAGAAGATCAATACCACTCTGAAGTCTATATGCTAAATATAAAGCCACAGCCAGTAGCCAAATAGTTTAGGATTAGGACTACAAACAGGTGGAAACAGCTAGAATGGCTCTGTCCAAATCTAACAACATCCACCTACCAGAACTTCTGAAGCTCAATACTCAACACGTTTATTCAGTTCAAAAACTTAAGTGTAAAAACAGCAGGGTGTGGTTTCACAGGAGGGGTCCTATAAGGGACTATTTCTTGGCTGGGAGACGGCTAGTTGCCTGGCAACCTCACCATGATGACAAGACTTCAGAAAGTTGCTGTGCCTGACCAAGAAAGAGTTGGATATAACGTGTTGATTAGTGAGCTTTAGAGGTGCTCGTGCTAACCCTAACCCTAGCTTCATATTCAACACCCACGTCGTATCAATCTTTGCGTCCAACTCGGCAAGAAATTGAATAAGCGCATTTTCCAAAATGTTGAACTATTCGTTTAATTTGAAAAAAATTTAAATGAAATGAACAGTAAACATTTTTATCTAATATTTAGATTCAGGTGGTTTCAGACTCTGTGTTTCCCCTCACAGAAGGTGAGGATGTTCAACTCTGCCTTTCCCGTGAACGGGTTATTGGACTATGTTGGATAAACAGCCTTCTTCTGTACACAGTGGACACACTCAGACACACTTAACCGCACAAACTCATTTACTCACCATTTTTCTCTTGGTGCAGAGGAAGGCATGACATTCGAGAGTCTCATTGTGTTGGCTCTGGACAATGTAGGCAAACACTTTGTCATGCATCTTGTCCGCCGTGCAATATGATATTCTGAAAGAAAAACACACAAACACAAATAGATGCACATACTTATTATAATAAAAACACTAAGACCTTACAGAGTCTTCACAGATCAAGTGGGACCATCATGCAACTTCATCTGCACTAAGCCCTTAAGCTAGCACAGCAATCCGATTTAAACTGTTCAATCTAGCATTTCTCGAAAAACTATTACAAAAAAAAATCCTAAAGCCAGCTGCACTCACAATCTCACTGCTCTACACGTGTTCAAATACACACCCCAGCTGTGTGTGTGTGCAGGTACAGGGCTGAGCAATGTCATGAAATTGAACTGAATCATGCACAGTGGACATCTGTGTTGTTCCGCCAAAGGCATGCCATTCCTTTCTGCTTTTTAAAGCAGTTACTTCATCCCACTCCCACTGTGCACACCTGTTAAACAACCTCCACACAGAGTTTTAAATTATGGCTTTTAGATTAGGTCTGGCCCCTGTAAGGTACATAAAACAGACACAGACAGAGGTGATTGTGCTTGTCTTGTTGTGGTGTAGAAGGTCATCTGCTGATGTGAGATTCCTCTATGTCACATGTTTGTGAGGTATCAGTTTCGCTTGTCAGACTCAGGTGCAGAGCAGGGTTTAAATTAAACTGTAATGCTTCACAAATAGCTTTTCTCCACTATTTGATCATCATGTCATTACCCTAATACCAAAGTGATGGGCACATGGGCCTGGAGGGGAGGGAGACCCAAAATGAAGGAGGAAGGCTGTAATGAATGTCTGCCATCTGTCCTTCCTTTCTCCTTTGAGCATCAGCGCTGTGCTCCAACTTCACTGTAGTATAGTCGCACACTTGGTTAACTAATGACTGGGAAATATATATGGTTTGTAATAAATAAATAAATAAATAAATAAATGAATGAATGAATGAATGAATGAATGGATGAATGAATGAATAAATCATTAAATAGATAAAAGCGAGGGAGGAAAAGTTTGGAGAGGTTTGAGAATCACAGCTGTGCTCTGCACACCACAACCAAGATTTACAGGCAAGCGTTTGGGCGGGAGGGCGTCAGGGAAATTGGGTGTCTAGGCAAATCCATTTCTTTTATTGGTCATCCATCTTCTCAGCAGATGTCTGGGGAGGAGCACTCCAATGGGGTGCAACATACAACCAGCTGCTTTATGTCTTCACACCATCCTGAGGTTACAGCTGGACTCACCTCACCCAGTCAGCCTTTTAATTACTGTACTATTTACGTACTTTATATTTTTCAAATGACAGAATCTATTATCAGTGCAAGGCGGACTGCATGAACACAAACACTGTATGACAAATTTGTAATGAAGACAGCATCTGTAGAGTTGAAAAGATAAATCTAGAAGTTTTCAGACATGAGGCAAAGTGAGTCAAAAGAGACAGGTGCATGTCGGTCCTCTAAAAACAATAGGAAGTTAGTTATCGTAGTTTGGCCTGCTGATTTTGCCCACTCATCCACTTAGTCAACAGTTGGAGCAGTAGCAGCTGTGACAGAGCTCACATAAAGCTCACTCGTGCCTCCACACACAGCTCATGGAGGTAATTAATGTACCGAGGCTACTTCTTCAGAGAGACATATTTCTGGTTAAATCAGAATCCACAGATATTATGAAAAAATCCTTAGATTCACTGTGAAAGTTTCCAAGAATATCTCTTTTCACACCAATAGTTTGTTTGCTTGGGTCTGAATCAGTTGATGAGTTTGTAAATTTGGAGAATTTTCCTCTTGGTTCTGTCTCTTTTCACACAGAGAAAAATCCAAGCGAACCAAAATGCATCACTATAAACCGTGTGAGAATGTTCACTCTGCTTATGGGTCAGACGTGTGTGCTGCAGGAGCAAGAAAGTAAATACAGAAAGAAGGTCCTGCGCTCTGGACTAGTGCATATTTCTCAGAGAAACACTGCTATGCAATTTAACAAGGAGCAACTAGTAGCAACTATGCAAGCTGCTACAGTTCATCCCAGAATGCAGAGCAAACCTGGCTACAGGAGCTGTTTAGCTCAAACTTGTGGAGTACATCTGGTAGCTGGGTTGGAGCATGGATTACATTCCCACCACAAATGAACCACTCCAGAGATTGTTTGGGAGTGGACCAAGACCAGTTCCTTTAGAGGGTCCGTACCCGAGTGAAATTACTATTTCATGCCTGCCCAAACAAATTACACCAAGGGGGTAAACCAACCAGAGTCTGATTTAACCTGACTAAAAAGTAAAGATGTGAAAACACCCTTAGAATCATTCATTTCAAAGTACATTGCAAACAGGAACTGCTTATAGTTAAATTCAGGAAATACAGGACAAAAAAAGTGGCTTAAGGTGTAGCCCACAGCTACATGACAACCCCCCCCAAAAAAAGCCATAAGGAAACTGTAGTTCTAAAACTTGGTGTGGGAGGGGTGGTGGGGTCTATAGTATCAGACTTTGAAAAATCCTTTGTTGTTTCTGGATTTGTTGATAAATCAGATGGCTAGAAATTAATCAGCAATTTTTATAATCCACTCATCATTTAAGCCATTGAAAATGCAAAACATTCTCTGGTTCCTGCTTCGACTGTTGGTCAATTTTCTGATATTTAATATACAAAAACATTAATCAAGACAGTTAATATTAGATTAATTTAGGATGAAAATGATCATCGGCTTTAGCCCTAATTGTCAGTGAATTAAAACTGCACAGGAAATATTACAACAGTGATGACCAAGTCTGTTCAGTTTGACCTCTGTGCATTTTGATGCACTTACAGCAATATACACATCTTATCGACATAATTTTGGCTTAGCCTAAGACAGCAATATCTGTCATCCTGCCTTTCCCTAGCTTTGATGGACCTTAGGTTGTTCAAGTTCAATTTGAAAAAAAAAAACCATCCCAGTGATGTACAGACTAGATTTTTAATATAGATAAATGCTGTGAGTCTGACAAATTGACTCCATCTTGCACAGCCAGAAAATGGTTATTCCATGACAAGTGATGCAAGATTGAACAGGTGGGAAGACTTCTCTCTAAAATAGGCTAAACATCCCCAGGTGGCACAGCAGAGTTGGAAACATGGTCAGTGAAGACAACTTGTCAATTAAACTGCTCTGAAATAACTTAAGAAAACTGTCAACACTTGAGATTTTCTCCTCAATCTGCCAGCTTTTAGAAGACATTCTTCAACGTAAGCCTAGTCATGCTTTGAAAAACGATGGAAAGTCCCATCTTGACTTGATATGTGGACTCATAAATGTGGAATTTTAGAAAAGTGATTCAAGCTTTGCTCATAAGCTTGAGGCCAATGGAGGTCGGGCAGCTTTAAGCGCGCAGGCTGTGGCAGGCAAGTGAGCTCTGTAGACATTTACTAGAGAGGAGGACTGTGTGTGTGGTGTCTGTGTGTGTGTGTGTGTGTGTGTGTGTGTGTGTGTGTGTGTGTGTGTGTCAGTAAGTCACACCTGAGGTGAAAGCTCAGGCATACAGCTGTTGTAGTGCTCCCATGAGAGTTGAGATTGATGAGACATGCTGCTGATGGACTGCCTACTCTTCTCTCTGTCTCACACATATACAGAAACACTTTACGCTGCCTTGGAGTACCACACCTCCTTACACACTCACACTCACCCAGTGATGGATGAGAACAAGAGAGGAATAACAACTTTTGTTTTATTGCAAGTGATAGGGACAAATTCAGGGTGGAAGCATTTCCTAAATTGGAGCCGCCCAACTGAAACCAGGACACGAAATGTGTGAGAAACATTAGCAATCTCCTGATGAGCTGGAGGAGAACTGACCTGTATATGGAGATGTTTTCTATCAGCTGGTTGGAGGCACTGTCGTAAAGGATGATTCCTCGTGGGGAGACTGTTAACGTGACTTTCTGGAGTTTTTTTCCACTTGCTTTGGCCTAGAAGATAGGAAAGGGAAGATGGGTGGAGGAAGAGGAAACATGGTATGTGAGATAGAGACAAGAAAAGGAAAAATCAATCTAGCTAAGTGCCAATTACAACTCAAACTGCTCATTTCTAAATCAGGCCAGCCAATCAAAATACACAGTGCCAGGGATACCAGTATACAAAATCAATCAAGTTACAAAGCAAATATCCTGTCATCAAGCTTTCAAAAGAAGCCATCAAAAACTCAGCTAAATACTTGGAGATCTGACAGAGTGTCTGGCTTGATTAACAGTATAATTATACGTATCTGACATATAAGCCATTTTAACAAACACATAAATAAAGAGATTAAACAAGTTTAACAACAACCAAAGCGACATTCAGTCCAGAGTAAATGAAAGCTTTTCAAACTATGCTATGACAAAATATTACTTTACACCAAGTCCACCTGTTCTACAAAATGACAAGTAAAGAAAAATCAAAATCTCCCATTCAGCAGCCTGACATCCTTTTCAGAGGGACACCAAGGGCAGCCAACAGATTATGCCCAATCAGAGCCTCTGCCTCCCTCTCCATACATCACCGTGTCCCAAGTCCCACCATTTTGCTGCCGCTAACTTCATTATCCACTGAGCTGCCAGATCCAATAACATTAAGCCTTTTCTACCATGATAAAGCTGGCTGAGCCACACAATGAGCAACAGTGTCCAAACTAATTGCATCCTCCTCTAAATGTCAGCTTTGGCCTCAGGGGGGAGGAGGTGGGGGTGTCTGCAACCAACCAGTCACTTTTCACAGAGGTGTCAGAGAGGTCATGAACAGGAGAAAACTACTGGATAACCAGGAGTTTCAAATAGCTGAGGTGATGATGGGGAGAAAAAATTAGAGAAAGTCCCTGTTGGAAATGTTTCCTGAATAGAAGGGTGTTGACAAAAGACTTTGGGCGGCCTGTGTTAAAACTATTTCAGTTATGTGTGTGTGTCTTCGCTGCCGAAGGTGTGCAAGTGTGAGGTGTCTCTCACCGTGGCCACTATCCTCTTGACAGCAGCTGCAGAAAGCTCCTCTCCTTTGGGCTGCTCAACCATCGTGACCCCCAGGTACTTGAGCTGGAACACCATGCCCTCCAGTAGGGTCTCCCTCGTGTCCGTCCAGTTCTCTGGAAGCTCTGCGAGATGAGAGACACACACCATTGATACTACTGCTCACCAACAACACTGCTGCTTTTTCTGTAAGGCAGGCTGAGACGTGTCAGTGAAGCATTCTCTTGTCCACTTGTAGGATGATAGACTCAGCTAGATTAGATACGGCAGCAGCCAAACCATGTCCTCATTATGGCTGTGTGTAATGAGCACATGCTTTTGATATTTCTTCAAGCAGCACAGCTAAATCAAGTGCTCTCATGGGCTAAATTGTGCCTATTTTCACAGAAATATATAAGTAAACCTACTGCTAGTTGTGATGGAAAGTAAGAAACAAGCCACTGAGTTTTCTTTCAAATCTAAATAAAAAGGTGAATCATCTTTTTTGGCTGTCCAAGCTGTAATCCTGCCAAATGTGGCATGGTAAAGGGAGTGTAAAGTAGCAGTTTTCTTAAAAAGATTATAATAAAATATAAAATCCGGCAATCACTGAAATACCCAGAAGGTTGGAAGAGTTTTTGAGGATTCAAAGACTCTTACAACCATGAAAATGAAAAAGATTTTTAACTCAAATTCCAAATTGCCACCATATTTCACCTCCAGGTCACAAAAAAATGATATATCTCTTTGCTCGTTTTGTACAAACCTAGAAAAATATGAACTCATTATTATGTATGAAAATATAAGATAACAGAAAATAGAATCAATGTAGACAAACATAACTGATAATAAATCATTTTGGGCTCACAATGTAAAAACTGAGTGAGGGCATATTCTGTTGTTTCCAGATGACATTAAAATGGAGGACATGGACATGTAAATAGAGGTGAGTACCTTCTATTTTAGTTTTTTCATACTTGATTTTTACTTAAAAAATATTTTCAGGTTTTTTTAAAGTTACTTATCAATGCATCTGTTCTGTACTTCTGCTGCTGCGACACTTCAATTTCACTGTGTGGGGGGAATAAAGTTTATCTTATCACATATCATATAATTAAGCTGGCCCTGTCTGCACTCCACTGTAAACCCTTAATTTTCTCTCATCCATCACTCCATGCAGAATACGGACTGATCAAGCATTAATGCCATAAAAACAAAACGAAAATAAAATGTGAAACATCACTGGTGGTATATGGAGTAACTATGTTTTCAACAATGTGTGAAATACAGGTTCAAGAGATGAAATTGGTCCACTTGACCGTTTGGCAGAATTCATTTACAATCCTGCCGACTGCAGGCAGCAAAGTCATTAATAAAAGATCATCTCCTCCAGCTTATGAGACAATGACACTTATCCACAACTCAATATCATACATTTTGTCGAGACTGTGATTTTGGTTCATTTCATCAGAGGAAACCTTGGTGAGCTGCTCAAGGCAATGTGAGTGCAGTGATAAAAAAAAAAAAAGGAACAACTTGTGTGACCTGACCAGCCGTCCACATAAAACCAAATCACTGAGACCCATGTTCAATTTATGCTGACAGTCCACACTAAATCTCCAACATTCAGCAGCTTTCAAACTGACCAGAGTTGATGAAAAGAACCAGCTGCACAAACCGTGGGAACAATATCTCACACTGGAAGTTCACGCAAGAAGACAACAAACTGCCTCTTCAGTATTCAGCCATTTGCTACAGCAATAAACATGCTAACTTCTCCTTGAAGCTAATAAAAAGTTTATGGACTTGCCACTCTGCAGTGATAGTGAGTGGAGGCCAATTGTCTCTTGAACAACATCACCCCTCCGTCCTGGGTGGTCTTCATGTCACCCAGTATCTTCAGTATCTCCTAGGATACATGCAGCCAGCTAAATAAATGCTTTTAACACCATCGCATATTTTATACTGAAATAGTTGGTCAATTTAATGATCGGTCTTTCAACAAAAACTTGATTGGCCACAATTCAGACATAACAAGACATTTAAATGTGTTAACTTGACCTCTGAGAAATTTTGATGTACTTTTCCACCTAATCAATCAAGAAAATAAGAGTTGATTAATTGAGAAAATAAGCAGCTGATTAATTGAAATAAAAATTGACTTATCTGATGATGCTCAAATAAGTCTTTGATTCATTTTCCCCATTACAGCTCAAGTGCTTTAATCTTCTTTAGCAGCACATGATTGTTGTGCAGTTTTGAACGAACAGGCTCATTCTCAGCACCCGTAAAAACTGTTGCTTGCTTCCACGTGTCAGCTGTTTCAGTTTTCAGTTTAAATCCATTTTCTATTTTTAAGCTTTTGTGGTAAATCACTGACAGTTATTATTACTGATGAGCAAATGATGAAATTAATGGCATAAAACTATTGTTTCAAGTATTTTAACTACACAAGTATTTCCAAAGCTTTGTGAATGCATTTATACTTTGTGAACACCATCACTTGGCTGAGGAAACCATATCGCTGAGGGAACATAGACCATTTGAAAAAAGCAGCAGGGGTTAAACCAGGGGTCCCCAAACTACGGCCCGCGGGCCACATCCGGCCCGCCAAAGCAATTGGAGTGGCCCACTTAACGATCCCAGACAATCCCTCTAAACATCAACCAATTTTTATTAAATTGCATTTTCCTATCATAACATCATAACATATCCATACTTAAAGGTTGGCATTCTAATTAAAATTGACCATAGTTATGAGCTATTTATAGTTAATAGTGGCTCATCTTCACCTCCTCACACAATGGTATATTCTGACGTGACTTTGATCGTGACCGAGCCAGCGTCAAGCTGCAAAGTTCTGAGGTGGGAATCTGTCATGAAGGTGGTTGTGTCCTGCACAAACTTCATCAGAGCAAACGGACTTAAACACAGGAAGTTCCACGCCTTTCTCTCCGAGCTAGAATCAGCCCACGGAGACGTGCTTTACCACACTGAAGTCCGCTGGTTAAGCCGGGGAAGAGTTTTGAAGCGTTTTTACGACCTGCTACCCGAAATCAATGCCTTTCTCCTGAAAAAGGTAAAAACTGTCCCAGAGCTGATCGACACAGAATGGAAATGGGACCTCGCCTTTATTAACAGATGTGTCAGAAATTTTAAACGGCCTCAACTTGCAGCTCCAAGGCAAGGGAAAACTAATCTGACATGTATTCCCACATCAAAGTATTTGAGCTTAAACTAGCGCTGCTTATTGGACAGGTGCAAAAACAAGACTTCACCCATCTCCCTGCTACTCGAAGCCTCTCAGCTGAGAAACCGGCGGTCCCGTTCCCAACCGAGAAGTGCAAGGACGCACTGGAAACACTGAGGGCGGAGTTCGGTGTGCGGTTCCGTGAGCTTCATGTCCACGTTAAAGAAATCCGCACATTCCAGAACCCTTTTGCTGCCGACATTAACGACACCCTGCCTTCTCTTCAATTTGAGCTGGCTGAGTTGCAGACCTGTGATGTGCTGAAAGACGTATTCAGCCCCAACAGTCTGATCAAGTACTATGCTGCCCTCCCAAATGAGACCTACCCCAACATAAGAAAGCACGCAACAAAGATGGTCCCTAGCAGTTTTTGGGAGCACATATATTGTGAGCAAACTTTTTTCACACATGAAGCTGATAAAAAAATCCGACGAGATCAAAGTCTCACATGATCAACACCTGGCATCAGTCTCTGAGTACTGGCTGTAACTGGGAATGGAAACCTGACGATCGATCTCCTCACCAGTCAGAAGCAAGCCCACAGCTCACACATCGGATATGGTAAGCCTACTGAATTTCAATAGCAATAGATATTAAAAAATGTCATTATAGTGTAATGCTCTTTTTATAAGGCAACATGTTTCTACCTGATTCTGACCACTATGTCTGTTATTATTATTTCACTACCTGTAAAGGACAGAACACTTTACCGTTTGTTAACTCTAACTGTTACCTTTTACAAAATCACATCACCTCATTCGTTACTTGAACATTACCATCAGTTTGTGTTTGTTATTTTTCTCTATAAAATAAATGGAGTATCTATGTGGTACTTCAAATAACACATGTGTTTTTTATTACTTTTTTTTTGCAAATCCAACAGGTGGTGCCAAAGCCAAAGCAAGAAGGGCAGCTACAACAAATTATCATTGTAAGCAGGCATTGCGGCCAGCAAGCAGAGCTATCGCTGCCCGGCGGCCCGCAGCGCCCTCCCCCCCTGCCCCCTGGCTAACAAGCCATTGCGCCCAGCAAGATGAGCTAGCCGCCTGGCAGCGCCCCCCCCCCGGCACAAGCATTGCGCCCAGCAAGATGAGCTAGCCGCCTGGCAGCGCCCCCCCCCCCGGGACAAGCATTGGGGCCAGCCAGATGAGCTAGCCGCCTGGCAGCGCCCCCCCCCCCGGGACAAGCATTGGGGCCAGCCAGATGAGCTAGCCGCCTGGCAGCGCCCCCCCCCCCGGGACAAGCATTGGGGCCAGCCAGATGAGCTAGCCGCCTGGCAGCGCCCCCCCCCCCGGGACAAGCATTGGGGCCAGCCAGATGAGCTAGCCGCCTGGCAGCGCCCCCCCCCCCGGGACAAGCATTGGGGCCAGCCAGATGAGCTAGCCGCCTGGCAGCGCCCCCCCCCCCGGGACAAGCATTGGGGCCAGCCAGATGAGCTAGCCGCCTGGCAGCGCCCCCCCCCCCGGGACAAGCATTGGGGCCAGCCAGATGAGCTAGCCGCCTGGCAGCGCCCCCCCCCCCGGGACAAGCATTGGGGCCAGCCAGATGAGCTAGCCGCCTGGCAGCGCCCCCCCCCCCGGGACAAGCATTGGGGCCAGCCAGATGAGCTAGCCGCCTGGCAGCGCCCCCCCCCCCGGGACAAGCATTGGGGCCAGCCAGATGAGCTAGCCGCCTGGCAGCGCCCCCCCCCCCGGGACAAGCATTGGGGCCAGCCAGATGAGCTAGCCGCCTGGCAGCGCCCCCCCCCCCGGGACAAGCATTGGGGCCAGCCAGATGAGCTAGCCGCCTGGCAGCGCCCCCCCCCCCGGGACAAGCATTGGGGCCAGCCAGATGAGCTAGCCGCCTGGCAGCGCCCCCCCCCCCGGGACAAGCATTGGGGCCAGCCAGATGAGCTAG